GGGAATGCTGTACCCCTGCAGATGGCACAGGGAAATAGAGCACTGCTCTCAAACAGATTGAAAAATCTGCTATCATATTCACGTCCCCAGGATACCATAAACAAATGCTTATGGACTGTAAGACCAAAGGTTTTTCTAATCCAGCATCCCACCTCCAAATGCTGCCAGCAGTAGAGGCTTGCAAAAACAGTCTAAGAGCCAGAGTAACTGAAAGTCATCCTTTCCTTGCTAGACCCTTGGAAGTTTTGCCATCCACATGTAAAAAGATTCCTGCACTGGACCACAAACACGACTGAAGGCTGCCTAGTGCTACTTTAAGAAACGAAATTTGGGACCCATTATATCTTGTCTCTACGGTGGCAATGAGCTGCAAGATTTAATTACCTTGTGTGCATAGAAAGTACCTCCTTTTAGTAGTTAAATCTGATACCCAATCATATCATTGTTCATTTCTTTGTCCTTAAGACTGTGAGAAGTAGTAAATAATCACCTTCTATTCACTTCATTCTCCTATCCGCTTTCTCCGAAAGCAATACTAGATATTTCACTCAGATATCCATTATTTCAAACTGTCATTATTGCTCAGGGTGAAAGCATTTTCTTCCCCACTTTTTTATACCAGAAACATTCACAAGGATTTTTAATATCCTTTGTGAGATTGTCTCTGCATATATTTGTTACTCACACGTTTTGACTTTTAATAAAAATGGCTAAGCCAGCTCATCTGCATAACACCGATACGGTCTAGTTTCAGCTTTCATTCATTATAACAGATAGAACTGTTATTTATTATAAGTTTCTTATTCACACATGCACATGCCTCTCCGCTTTTTTTTTTTCCTTAAAAAATAAAAAATAGTTTTTTTTTTTTAATCAAATAAAGTGATTTTAGATTTGTTTTCAAGAACTTTTATAGCATTTGAAACAGTTATTTTGGATAACTGAACATATATATAAAGATGTTCATGGTTTCAGTTTTGTTTTTCCTCTGCTTTAGCTCCCCATTTATACTCCAAGATGAAGAAAAGGTTAGGTAGTATTAAACTTCTGTCCTCCCTGATACTTGGATCACTTCTAAGTGTTATTTCAACAGTATGCAAGTGTTGCCAATTCATCTTATTCTCACACATTGCAAATCATTAGATAAAAAGAATAAGCTGCTACCTGGCATGTATCACATTATTTCACAGTATCTTTCTTTCTTTAAGGTAACACCAAATCCCTAGTCCACATAAATCACCAGAGATCTCCTAATATCATCAAAGCCATGTACTTTCATAACAACTGACATTTTGGCTCAACAGGATCTTTAAAGATGCTCAAAAGATACAACTCCTGCAATGACGATGGCTGATTTTAGGTTTTCTAAGATGTACGTGCTGATGAACTAAAACAAAACATGGTTACAATAATTCTGCCTATGCTATATAGGGACTCTAGGGTAGTCCACAACAGCTAGGTTGCCATAAACATGATTTGAGTTTTTTATCAGCATCTCATACATCCATATCACAGTAGGTTTCCCTGACTTTGCTCCCAAGAACTGACCTATGTGGTCACCTTCAGACTTGAAGAATATAAAACTACCCATAACGGCTCATCCGGGTCTTTGGGAGAGGCCACAGGGGAATGTTATATGAACAACAAATACATACATATCTATATATATATATGCACACACACACACATATATATACAGATGGGGGAGGAAGAGAGGTGATAGTTCCCAGGAGTGTTCTCCCAGTTATGCTGACACTCAGCAGACTGAGTTCAGACATAGCCCGCAGTCTTTGTGGTCAATGCAGCTATTCAGCCTGCACACATTTGTAGCAGCATAATGCAGGCTTTTTACTGATAAAAGATAAGAACAGGATTCACACTCCATTGTGAATTTGGGTTTAGATGGTTACACAATAGAATCTGTAAAAAGACTCAAGTTTTTTATTTGGATAAGGGGACACATTCTCTCCTTTATTGCAAGGCCCCAGTGATTTCAACATCAGAACCATCACTATGAGGAAGATACCAGCTGGCCTTACAAAGACCTAAGCAATCTAGCCATCATCTTCAACAAGCTCCTAGCCCAAACAAGACTTACAACTTCAGCTTGATGAGCAGATATAATGGTGAATATTTTAACAAAGCATTTTCCCATGAAAAAAAAAAAAAAAAAAAGCTAGTAAATTAATATCATAGTGGTTTTGTTTCAATTTATAAATGTTGGAAAAAAGGGAAATGTTGGAAAAGGGAAAATAGCCATTAGCCCTGAAGAGAGATTCTGTCCAGGTCCACCAATAATACCTCTGAGTGCTGGAGCTTTACTTGGTTTCTAACAAAACTGTATTGCCGTGGCTGAGTGTGACTGGGAAACTGGACCTGTCTTGCCAGTAACTACCCACTCAACTTATTAGTTGAGTTTTTTGCATTTTGCTTTTTTTTTTTTTTTCCTGCTTTGTTAGAACTCTTCTACTTTATACAAAAAAGTATGGATCAGGATGAAGTGATGGAACAGCACCAGGCGCAGTGCTTGAGATGGGACCCTGAGGTTCAGCTCCATACTCATTGGATGCTCAGTTGTGTCCACAGGGAAATGTTGCCAGAGAGCCACAGAACAGCTGAAAGGCCCTGATCACAGCCCTTGTCTTTGACTCCTGCCACCCAGGTTCAACCTGTCAGTGTGAGCCTGGAAAAACAAGCTTTTGGAGCAGTTTCTGTGGTCCCAAGGGATTGATCTGTCCCCTCAGGCATTTTCCCTGAAAACGGAGGCAGGTTAAAAGACAAAGGGACTGTTCCAATGGGACAGGAAACCCGTGAAGGGACGAAAAAGGCTTCTCATAAGGGAAATGCCAACTTCCTTGAGGTTGCCAGAATTTAAAATTACATGTTCATAGACTAATTTGCTTTCAACTTTCTGCCAACTGTAGAGGGCATTTCATTTAATAGAATCCATAATGAACTGATCCTTGACAGGCTCACGCAGATCATGTCCTGAGACTGCTTTACTCTGTGGCTTATTCTGAACGCTTTCAGGTCCTGATCCAGAGAGACTCAGAGGTAGCTCTTAAGAAGATCTCAGCTCTTTGAACACTCAGCAGTCAATGAAAACAAGGGCACTCAGTATCTCTGGAGCAAGCCCTTACACATTAAGTGCTGCAATCATTTCATAGTGTGAGGGAGTCATATACTTAGTTCACCTGAATATTGATGCAGAACACAAACATTAAGTATTAGGCAGCCAAAGGCAATTATTCTGATCATTAAAAAGTCTAATCAGAGTAACTTTGAATTTTGTATTACACAGCAGATACAAGAGAGTTGTGTATAATCACAGAAGTACTAACCTTTCTATTTTCAAGGAGACATATATTATATTTTGAAGTGCTAAATACTAACCTTCAGCTTTATGTAATGCTTGAAGCACAGAGGCTTTGTTTGGAAAAATGGTTTGCTTAGATGCAAACAGAAAATCCTGGAAAACAATAAATGAGGATTGCAGTAGCATTGATTCCATAGCTCCATAGAAAGAAATTTCACAAAAATAGCCACTCATTTTCAGCATCAATCATAATACAGGTGAAGGTAAGTTGAATTTGACTTTAGACATATCCCTTTTCAAGCAACCTTTCATAAATACCTATGATTATGAAACTGATTTTCCTGTCTACATCCTTCCTTTGGTACTGAGGTCTGTCTTTGGGTTGCTTTAGATCAAGTACCTGCAGCTGCTGAACACTGTGAGACATAGCTACAGTGCAGAAGGTGATCTCCTAAACTATCCATCTACCAAATACCTAATGAATGACAAACCAGAGGTTAAGGAAAAAAAAAAAAAAAAAGTGTTCTACCCCTCAGGGGACATAACACAAGACAAAGCTGACCATTTGTGTAAGTGTCCTGCTACAGTGACCTCTGTGGGGTTAAGCAATCTGTACCAGCTGATGTTCTGACTAGTTACAGACCTTAAACAAGGTTCATACGATAGAATTTGTATCAATTTACCATGGCAGGCATAAGGTTTCCCCAAACCTTATTTTTATTCTTTTGTATATTAGACAGACCCAACACAGACACAGAGGAAGGAATGGGGAACAAAAGCAGTGCTCTTGCCCGCCGAAACTCAGCTGAAAGGCTTGCTAGCGCATGTGATGGTTATCCAAATTCACTGTCACCTTCCCACGCAGAGTCCTGTAGCTTCCCAGACAGTTGCAGCCTCCTTTCGTTTACATGTTCAGAAACTTTTCTTTCAGTGTACGATGAGAAAAAAATATCACACAAATTATGTCACTAAATCATTTTCTTTAAACGTCTGCCTTCCTTTACATGTTTGTCACTGACCTAGTGTTGATCCCATTTATGTGAAAGAACTACCGAAGCACTTCTCCTCTATCAGCATTCATTAGCAGCTCCAAGTTCCTGGCACACAACAGGGGTTTTGCCTACAACAGTTTGGGGATGTTCTAGTTGGAAATAGGGGCAGCTAATGAGGAAAACACAACTATACTTTGTCACCACTGCTCTTATTTACTCCAGCATTTTTCCAGTAATGGGGAAATATTTCCACATGGCAGCCTTCCTCCCGCAGTGTCTGTAGTTGAAGGCACTTTCAGGCCTGTTTTCTCCATCACCTGCTGGTGTTGATCGCCCTGCCCCTGCCCTGGAGCACAGCAAGGTGCCCAGGGGGAGGCCTCCATGTGCCTGCTGCAGGCCCACCCACCTGCCCTCAGCCTGGCAGGCCTTGGCCTGCAGCACATGCTCCACCTTGAAGAGTGTTCCCCACTAAAAATGAAAGGTAGATTGTATGCAGAAGATTCCTGCAAGTTTCCATAGAAATCAGCCTTCCTAACTGGCAGAATTATTAAATAGACTTCTCTATAGATAATATAGATCTTTCTGGCTACTGGCTTGCAGCTCTGCTTCAGGAACTTGGACATCAGTCTTCTCTGCTACTTGAAAAGTTTCTCAATTAAAGTTTTCTGGATCAAAATATCTAGCTTTCTTACCGTGGTTCCTGTGCTTGCCTCCCCTCCTGTGTCAGCTTTTGCTTCAAGGTTCATTCACTTTGACATTCTGCTACTTGAGGCTCAGTACCTAGCAAAAAAAATCTTTAAGAACCTGTTTTTCTTACCTGTCACTATAATTTGATATATTTTTTTTACACCTCATACTGATTGTGTATATATATATACACATACAACCTTATCCAAAAATGGAAAAGTAATATTTCTGAGGAGACCACCTTTGCTGAATTTAATTCCTTTTCCACACCAAGGCAGACAGATCCTTCTGACAAGTGCTGTGGGAGGTTATCTAGCCACTGTTTTAAAAGGATTGTAAGTTATTCCAGAGTTTAAAATACTTATATATATAAAGTATTGGTTGAGATATTATACCATCAGAGCCACGTGGCTCCAAAGCTGTTTCCTGTGTGTAATAAGAATTTCTGACAGGGATGATTTGTGGGGAAGCAAACTTACAGTTTGCTCTTCAGAAGTTCTCAAGGGTGATACCTGATTATGCTACTTACGGTAAAGACTCAGAAAGCTAGCACACACATCAAAAGAATTTCCATTGGATATGACCAGATCCACTGAATGTAGTCTCCACGTTAAAACTGAAAGAACTGGGTGATCTCCCAGTTCTTCAGGGTGTAGAGGAAGTTAAACAGCACCAGTGAAATTTACAGCCCACCACAGCTTGCTTAGGGCAAATTTAGAGCTCTCCAGGAACAGAGGTACCCGTTTTTAACACCTTCAACAACTTAATCCAAACAAGGGTGATGGAAGCCTGACATGAAAAGTTATCATTAACAGGCACAGGAGTAAGAATTTACATAAAGGAGACAAAGACACAGAAAGAGAAGAAAAGACACAGTTAAGAAGATGCATGAAGTTCAACCATCATGAGGATGTTACTAATATGTTTATTCATTGTCAATACAAAGAATACAGCCCAGCGCAAAGCAGGCCCTGAGCTGCAAGTTGTGAACCCAAAGCAAATGAAAGGCACATCCAGACACTGCAAGAGGATTTCTAGGGCACTGCATCTGTGCAGCTTGGGTCTGCCAGGTACCTGAATGGAAGTCAGCAGGAGACGTATATGGGTACAGGTTACAGATTGGCAGGCCCTTAAAAAGTTTTCAGCTTTACTACAACATGACTTTGTGCCCTTTAGGAGCATAATATTGAAATACTCGGGTTTTGACTCCCATTTACCTAACCCATGCGCAATAAACACCATTAAGTTATTTCTTTTCTTTTGAATTTCAAGCCCACTTTTTTAGAAGACCTAACGATCCTGACGGAGCTGACTCTACCCTCCCTTCCTCTATTCTGCCCTTCTATTTTTTTATATTTTTATTTTTACTAGAACATAGCAAGAATGTCAGATTATATGCTTCTAAAACTTCCTAATCAAATTGCTCTCTTAATGCAAACCAGCTTAATCTTTTCATATTCCTTAAAAATAACATTATTTACGTTTTAAACATTCATTTCAATACCCCAAAAAGTGATTTCAAAAGTGACTGTCAGTTTGAAAGATTAGCCCTACTTACCATGCTTTCTATACTGGTAAGGCAAGCTGACAGGTGCATCATCAGCAAGCATCCAAGGGTTTCTGTGATTAAACCCTCAAGTTCACATCAGAGCAGATGAAAGGATTTAAAAGCTTAAATATATTTTTTTTATTCCTAATGAACTAACTTTAAATATTTAATGATTCTCAGAAAGCTTTTGGGTTTTTAAAGTACCATTTAGAAAAAAAAAAAAAAAAGAAAAAAACGGAAGTGATCCATTTCTTTTTACTTTTTCTAACCCAATTCTTTGCCTTATCTGAAGTGACCACTTACCTACCCAAGAGAAAGTTTTCATAAAACTTATTTAGGGTCTAAAAAACTTATTTAGGGTCTAAAAATGGTCTAAGAATGAAAATTCAAATTGGCACTGCTAAGTTATCTAAAAGGGAAGACCTTAAAAATAATTTAGCTGCATATTGTTTACTAGTAAAAAAGGAAGATAGGAAATCAAAACCATAAATGAAACTATAACGAAGATTTTTTTTTTCCTTTATATTATTGACTTACCTAGTTATATAACATTATACAAGGAGCTGAAATTATGTACCTGTGTAGGACTGTTCATCATGCGCTGTACGTCCAGATATTTCCTCTGATTTATTCTCAGTTCTAAGGTATAAATTGGTGGACTGGAAAGTGATTTCTCCTTCCCTCGTGCTAAGGTATTGCATCTGTAGCCAATGAAGTTAGGATCTAATCTCTATCCTTTTAAAAATCAGTGAAAGACTCATCAATTTTAATGATTGTAAGACTGGAACCTTCCAGAGCAGCATCAGGTATCTCTGCTGGGGTGAGAATACTTTATAAGACAGGTAAAGTGCTGTCAGCAGTACATGCACTGAGACCTCAGTGCCAGCACCAAACATGAATTATAATAATTCCCTTGCTGAATAACATTTTCTACATAAGCTAGATTATCCAGTTACATCATTTTAATATGAAATGGTGCTGAAAACAGCATGGGAGAACCTCTATGCAAGAGATTCATTTTTATGATAGACAGTTTCATTTAAAAATAAAAGTACATAATAAAAATCTTGCATACCGAAACTGATATCCAAATTGCTCTCAGAATAGAGTTCCTATAGAACAGGGTACCCCACTAATCTGTCTTTCTTCTGTAAAATTACTACTTTTTCCAGTTTGAAAAGGAATTCAAGCAATAAAAATATGAATTGATAATACTGTACATTAAGATGGTATAAAAATAAAATGCATTGCCAAAATTGTTCACCAGCAATCACTCCTCATAAAGTACTTATGCACACATTTAGTTAGGAAAAGGCTGCATTCCTTCAGTCTGTCCTTTTACAAACAGAAAAGGAAAGGAATTACAGAAGTCCCACTATGCACAAACCCTGCCCAGCATGTAGAAACCTGTACCTAAGGGCATATCAAGATGTGGGTGCCAGCTAATGAAGAAGGCTGAAGGTAGAAAGAAGCATCAGTGTTCGGCCCACAGCACATCTCCTGGGAGTGTGGGGCTGTCACCTGCTTTCCCTTGTGTTGGCGCTGCCCTGCAGGACACGTGTGCTCAGCACCCCATGGCACCGTGGCCAGTCTCCCCCTTCCCCACCACCACTGCTGTGCTCCCTGGATGGGCAGAAGTTCTTCTGTGCAGTGCAAGGCAGCCAGTGCCAAGCATGTTATGCCACTAGAAAAGTGTGGCAGATGGACCAGAGCAGCTGCCTTGTAGCATATCTACAGCATGGCTTAAGTTCAGTGAATTTGGGCTCTTCAGCCTTTCTCCTCCGTTTTTTAGGAAGCTTTGAGTTGTGCTGGTTATTCTACACCTTGAAATCAGGCCCCAGAACCTGCACAAGCTTCTCCCATCACCTTCAGTCCTGTCTCAAGTCGAGCTCAGAGAGAAATAATTAAGGCAAAGAAATGTAGTAGAAAGAGGACCCAGGCTTTGAAAGAAGCAGTGTCACTCATGAGAGCATACCTTCTCACATAATTACTTTCTTTTCATAGTTTTTTTTTTTTGTTTTCAGTAAAACAAAGGATATGCATTCAGCCAGAGTAATTGGATTTCATTTAATAAAACATTTAAGGCTTGATTCACAATTTGAAGGGGAAAGAGAAGAAATATGGGAAGAAAGAAACACCAGCTGTTTTCACAGCTGCCACAAAGGTAAAGTCAAACACACAACAGAAGCTGTACATTTTTCAAAACCACGTCCCACTGGGAGCTCCAGACCCTTGCAAGTGCCATGCCCATCTCCCACGGACATGCAGCATCTCTTACACACCCTGCTTGGGTCTCACTCTGCTGACAGACTTGGAACAAAGTTATGCTCCCCAGAAGAAAAATACAAATGCAGAGACAAAGAAATTGTATGTCACAGATCATCAGCCAATCTAATTATTTGGCTGAGACAATGTTACATTCCAGCAGAAAAATAGCATTTAATTAGGCTGGCATGAGCATTATAACCAGAAATAAAATGAAAATTCAAACAAATGCCACATATGGGTATAATCTTTATATAACAAATAGCAAATTCAATAATATGGTTAATTTGTCAAACTGTTGTGACCCATATCAAAAATAAAGGAAGAAAAAGGGAAAGTTAAACTCCAGAAATGTATATGCATATTGGCCCAAGCCTGGGAAAATCTGCAAGAACTGTTCATTAGTGATGAAGTTATCCCAAGAGCTCTTGGGGTCAAGCAATAAGGAAGGGTCCAGAAAGCCTCAAGCAAGAAGGCTGCAGGAATCAAGTTCCTGAAGCATTGCAGAGGAGCCTTGTGAGAACCAGGCTTTTCCTTAGTACTCCTTGGTACCCTATTCCCGAGTCTTACTGTAGTGATTATGTTGGCAGGTTTCCTCTGGCCCCTTCTTTAAGCTGATTTCCTCTTGCTGTCCTTCTTCATTTAGTTTCTCAAGGTCAGATCTTAGCCAATAAGCAATGTACAAATGAGTAACGACTTGGGAAGAAAGCAAAAAATCTGGACTGAGTTCACCGCAAGGTAGCTTGGTCTGAGACAGAGTCAGGCCCTAAGATCACAGGCAGTAGGAGGTCTTTGGCTGGACAGTGGATGGAGGGACTGCAAAAGGAGAGAAGGGAGCTGCTAATGCAGCAGGGCACCTTGGTCTTGATTTTCTTTGCAGGCAACACCCTGTCCTCAGGGCAGTTACCCCAGACTTAGACTTGTACAATAAAGAATTGGATCCTTTAACACCACCAAGTCCCAACAAGCAGAGATGAGGTTTTCAGGTGTACAGTCTCCAAGCAACTTGATAAGGAACACTGACCGTGCTTCTTTTAATACACAAGAATTGCAAAGGTAATAGCTATATGGAAGAAAAGGCAGAAGAAATGCTAGCAGAGAAGCTAGACTCCCACTTGAAGCTTAAGTCTATTTCTGAGGAAGTGTAGCCAGTTTGATGACACAAGATTGAAATGTGAGAAACCCAAAGGAATGCCTGAATTCACCTAATAAGCAAATGGAAAGCTCCAATAAGCAAATACCTGAAAAAAAATATCAAAGTTTATAAATCTCTATTCAT